AAAAATATAAAGGTTGAAAGATTCTTTTAGGCAATAGAAAAGAGCAAGCGTATTTTGGACAAAAACAATTTTTATCAGCACCAAAGAAAGTTGAAAAATAAGGTTTATTTAAGGATTTTCAAAGAAAAGTCGACTCTTTTGAAAATACTCTAAAGGGTTTAGAGTTTTTTTAACTCTGATTTTTTCATTTCAGTCTTTAAAACTTTGATTCACACCTAAAAAAGTCAGCTCCAAACGGATCCATAACATTTATGTTGATTGCAGATGAGTTTTGATGTGGTTGAAAGGGTCATTAGAACTCTGCCAAATACATAATCTGTGACATACCTTTTGTAGAATGGTGACATACCTTTTGTAGAATGGCTTTAATAGGTATATGTGAACACATCAGTTTAGTTGAACTTGTCAAAGTGACTCAATCAAATACATAATGACTCTTGAGTTTGATGACATTAGACTACTTTTTTTAAGATAAAAATGGGGACACAATGAGCCTTCCTCATTCAGTAAATCCCTGTGGTATATGGCAAGAGATAAATACAATGAACATAGAGACTGTACAGTTATTTCCAATACGATGACTTTTAATGATGTTTTCAAACATGGTGCAGGAGTGTTTTTGCCAGATCTATGTGATAAAGTGACGACCAACCCTCACCGGGCCATGATCGAGCTCGTGAGTAATGGTGCTGCCCCTGGTCCTATTTCTAGTGAATTATCCTCTGATTTCAGTGCCTCTGCCTCTGCCCCTGCCCCTGCCCCTGCTTCTTTCTAATGAAGTTGATTGATCAACTGGTTCTTTGCTATTCTAGTTGTTTGATCAACTGAAGAATCACTTTTTCTATGAAACTATTGTGAGACAAAGAAGAAATAAATAGGAAAATTGAGAGAGAAGAGGGAGTTTGATTTCATTATTTTCTATGGGGTTTGTCGATAATTCATCTTATGTAATTAAATGAGATTCTATTGAACATTATTTTCGATGGGGTTTGTAGATTCTATTGATTCTATTTCATTGCCATTATTCTATACAACTTCGATTTGTGATTAAGTAGCATTATTTGACCATAACAATTAACCTTGCTAAACTAGCAAAACTCACAAGAAATCATTTCTTTTTCTTGTTAACAAAAAAAAAAAAAATCATATTCTCATGAACATCCCTAATATGTGGCTCACTTTTATGTATAATATAATTGAACTAGTCATTGCTTGTGTTTGAATGCACTATATAACCAAAAAAAAAAAAAAAGTCAAAAGCAATTGCCCTGAAATCATTTATACCATTTTTTAAAACTAATTTTAAGAGACTTTATTATTAGAGTTTTTTAAACTTATTTTATACATTGCTTATGTAAAATTAAAATTCAACTAAGCATTTTGTAATAGATATTCTTTCAACCAATCATTTATGACAATCAACAAATTTGTATAGTTGTAATAAATATGAAAATTGTTATGAACCAAAATCACAAGAAAAATAATAATGAAACGAAATAGAAAAATAGAACACAAGAGATTTACGTGGTTCGACCCAACAAGAAACCCTACGTCCACGATTGAAATACATCAGCAAGATTTCACCATTGAAAGGTTGGAGATTATAAAGACCGTTCTCGATAAACAAAAATAACAAAACGAGAACGTCACAACTCTATCACACTATTATAATTGTAAAATCCGAGTAAATTTGATTTTTTTTTAAAAAAGGCAAAACGGTAATTAGTCACTACGTTACGGGTTGAAAATCCAACTTTTTTTAGAACTCGACTGACGAAACGGACCTCACTGTTGGATTCGTCTCGCAAAATTTAGTTACCTACTCAATTTTCGTTAAATTTAGATACAATCGAATTTTTCTCGAGGCGATCGGGTGTTGTGTGACCTAAATAAATGAGATCGGGAATTAAATTGTGAAAAGTGAAAAATAATTTAAAGTTAGTTCAAATAAAAATATTTTGAACCTGTACCAGAACAAAATTTAATTGATTTGAGACGAAATTGAACCCGGGAAAGGAGGACGTGTGACGCAACGAGGGCTAAGTATTCCAAGGAGTATAAGTAGGGTAGAAAATCAGATTTTCTTCCCATTTGTTCAGCTGGGTTTTTCGAAGAAGAGAGAGGGAAGAAGAGAGAGAAAATTAAGATTTTCTTCAAACTTCTCTTTATGATCTACGACTCTACGTTCGTCGAATCAACTTGGGTCAAGAACTAAAGTTTATCTACGCGTTGAAGGCTACGCCTACGTACCAAAAAACACGGCTTTTGACGAAGTTCAAAGAACGAAATTTTAAAAATCAAGGGCTAAAACTTGATTTGGGTCTTGAGAGATTTTTCTATCACTTGTTTTACGCTTCAAGTGGTAGGAATTTTTTCCTAATTATGTTTATTTTCAACCTAGGGTTTCATATGATATGGGTAATATGACTTGAGATGAATTCTCTTGTTTGATGTATTCCAAGTGTAACTAGAGTATGAGAAATAGGTGTAGAAATATACTAAACCAATCTTACATGAATTGGGTTTATAGAATTTACTTGTTTGGTAAATTCATGAGAAATGTGATAAATTAGGTATGATTGTGTGTTACATTATTGTATGTCTTTTGGGTGTTTGATAAAATGCCTATGTTGATGTAGCATGTTGGTTCAATTGAAAATGTTATAACATGCTTGGTGAAAATGTGGATTGTAATTATATGCCTCTGATATAATTAACAATTTGGGAATTTGATGATGTTGAAATGTAATTATATGTTTTACGACATAAATTACATTAAGGAATTGAAAATGTTCATATTGTGCTCATGACATGTTGAACATAGTATGACACATACCTATGGTAGTTGAAATGTGAAAAATAGGTATTGAGAAGGGTTAAAATCAATTCTAGCATGAATTGAGTGTTTAGAAATTACTTCTTTGTGATTTTTTGTGAAATGTATTGATTGGACATACTAAGTATTTACATTTATACCTTGAAGGTGTTTATTGAAATACCTATGTGGATTAAGTGTGTTATTTGCATTGATTATGTTATGACATGCTTGAGAGTTGATGTTGATATATGCATTATGATATATTAACATTGAGGTTGTTGATGGTGGTTACATGCTTATGATGTAATTGACCATGGAAAAATGTTGAAAGGTATTTAAGATGTTCATATTAAGCTCATGACATATGAACATGATAATGAAATTGCAAGTGTACATTAAATTTGCATATGCACATGAAGTATCACATTTGTTGGCATTTGACATGAGTGTGAGTGTGTGTGCATATTTTTGGATCAAACACCATTCTTGGTGGTTGAGACGTGGATTCAGGAAGGTTGGACCTAGGTCCGGCTGAGTTGCACAGTTGCATGAAAAATTTGTATTGGATATAGTAAAAAGGGCTAGATTCTCCATCGGGTGTAAGACCTAGTTACTAGTTTATATACTTTCGTCGGTGCAAGTCCAAAAAAATGTATTGGTGTCATGAAACCGGTAGTGAGATACCAAAATCCATGTACTCAAGAAAGATACATGATTTATTTTATAAAATGGTCATTAGAAGTGTAACATCAATGACAGGGGATTGGAATGCCCGGATTCATACGCATGACATTACATGTGTTATTGAAGTCGGTGAAGGTTTGAGTTTAGTTGGATGTGTGAGTTTCATCTCATGACATGCCATAACATAAAAAATTCTATTATAAATTGCATATTCTTGAATGGATTATTTCTTGCTTGTTGACTTACATGTGAGCATTTCATATGCATTTAAGTTAGAGAGTAGCCTTTTTAGGAGAAACCCTATTAAGCGTAGCTCATCTTTTATAGGGACAATATTTCAGGTGCGGGACATGCGTCGGTGGATGACTCTCACTCGGGCCTTCATAGATGAAGAAAAGCCGAGATGTGGTTTTAAATTGCGTTTTTGTAAAATACATGTGTAAATATTTTTGGACATATAATATTGTGCAAGAAAGTAAAAAACAAATTCATATGAACTATATTTTGTCTAAAATTATATGTCATATAAGTTTGGGTTGTTGTTATATGAGTACGGATAAATGGACCAGATGTGGTCAATGTTGTATGATTGTACAAGTTGTATTTTGGATAGAGCTCTCCATATAAAGGAGACTCTATCCGAATTTTGTTAAGCTATGAATCTCGATAAATGGGGCATAACGGCGTGGTATTAAGTTACACGGTATCTACAGGTATTCAGCGGTTTGATGGGTGATCAATGGGGTAATTACAGACACCCAGATTTTGGGGCGTCACAATAAAAAATAAATAGTGTCCTAAAAAAAATCCTCTCTCCACCAAGATTAATTTTCCTGAAGAGGACTTGAAACAAGATAGAGTGAAATCCCAATTTCATCACCTTTGGTGTTGTAATTTTTTTTACCGAGTCGTTGGAGAAGACTGAATTAAACACCTTGATAATGCTACTCGAGAAGAAAAATCCCATCCAACTTGGATANCGTGACAATTCTAGTCATACGCCAATCACATGATTTTTAATTTTGCATTTATTTAGTCCCATGTGAATGGCGTTTGACCATAGGCAAGTTTGGAATTGGACCACAAATTAGGATACTTACGGACCAAATAGGCACAATTAAAAGATTGGGGATTAAATAGACACGCTCATACTTTGGGAATTAAAAGCGTATTTTACCCTTTTTTTCTTTTTTCTTTTTTTTTTTTGTTTCGGGTTTCTTCATTATAAATCGGAGCATACTTTATTTATGCGTATACCTTTCTCCATGTTAACGAAATCATCTTTAAAAAAAGAAAAGAAATTTGAATTTGCTTTTTAAATAATATTTATATGTATTTTTTTGCTACATTAGGTGAGATTATATGCGAGGACTTGCCTACGGATGTTTGTTCATTTTCAATTGCATCGTCCGGCAAGAGGTGTTTGTTGGAGAATTACGCAACAAAAGACGGAAAGGTGGCATATCAATGCCGGACATCAGAAGTGGTTGTTGCGAGGATGGCTGAGTACATAGAGACTGATCAATGTGTTAGTGCATGTGGGGTTGATAGGAACTCTGTTGGAATATCATCTGATGCCTTGCTTGAGCCACAATTCACTACCAAGCTTTGCTCTCCATCTTGCTACCGGAACTGCCCCAACATTGTCGATCTTTACTTCAATTTGGCCGCCGGAGAAGGTAAGAAAACATCATGATCCTTCTAATTGGCTTGGGTTCAAAATAAAACGTGAATAGAGTACGTGTGATTGACAAACTTTGGTCAAACTGTTCAGTTCTTGATCGGTACGATATAAACGAGTCATCTAATCCTCCCATTGCCTAAAGGGGGACGTACCCGTTCTAATTTCGAATGCTAGCAGCGCCACTTGTTTAAAATAGTTGAAAGAGTCTGATTGAAAACTAAATAAATTCTAGTTGCAAGTGAATTAGTTAGGACAACATGTGATTTTGCAATGATGTTTGGTAATTTGCATATTATTTCCTTTGTGTTCCATAAAAAAAAAAAAAAAATTCTTCAGGACGACTTGTTCTTTTTTATCCACTCAATTTGCCTTACTAGGTCTTGCATTCAAACTATAATATCTGAAGTCTTCTAAAACCTTCAATTCTTTTGTTTTTAAAATTTGGTGGAAAAGGGTTGTTTGATTAACTTATAAATTCAACTTTGAATTAAGCAGGACAGATAAAATGCATTTCCAATGAAGAAAAATAGAAAGGCTGAAAGATTCTTTTAGGCAATAGAAAAGAGCAAGCGTATTTTGGACAAAAACAATTTTTATCAGCACCAAAGAAAGTTGAAAAATAAGGTTTATTTAAGGATTTTCAAAGAAAAGTCGACTCTTTTGAAAATACTCTAAAGGGTTTAGAGTTTTTTTAACTCTGATTTTTTCATTTCAGTCTTTAAAACTTTGATTCACACCTAAAAAAGTCAGCTCCAAACGGATCCATAACATTTATGTTGATTGCAGATGAGTTTTGATGTGGTTGAAAGGGTCATTAGAACTCTGCCAAATACATAATCTGTGACATACCTTTTGTAGAATGGTGACATACCTTTTGTAGAATGGCTTTAATAGGTATATGTGAACACATCAGTTTAGTTGAACTTGTCAAAGTGACTCAATCAAATACATAATGACTCTTGAGTTTGATGACATTAGACTACTTTTTTTAAGATAAAAATGGGGACACAATGAGCCTTCCTCATTCAGTAAATCCCTGTGGTATATGGCAAGAGATAAATACAATGAACATAGAGACTGTACAGTTATTTTCAATACGATGATTTTTAATGATGTTTTCAAACATGGTGCAGGAGTGTTTTTGCCAGATCTATGTGATAAAGTGAAGACCAACCCTCACCGGGCCATGATCGAGCTCGTGAGTAATGGTGCTGCCCCTGGTCCTATTTCTAGTGAATTATCCTCTGATTTCAGTGCCTCTGCCTCTGCCCCTGCCCCTGCCCCTGCTTCTTTCTAATGAAGTTGATTGATCAACTGGTTCTTTGCTATTCGAGTTGTTTGATCAACTGAAGAATCACTTTTTCTATGAAACTATTGTGAGACAAAGAAGAAATAAATAGGAAAATTGAGAGAGAAGAGGGAGTTTGATTTCATTATTTTCTATGGGGTTTGTCGATAATTCATCTTATGTAATTAAATGAGATTCTATTGAACATTATTTTCGATGGGGTTTGTAGATTCTATTGATTCTATTTCATTGCCATTATTCTATACAACTTCGATTTGTGATTAAGTAGCATTATTTGACCATAACAATTAACCTTGCTAAACTAGCAAAACTCACAAGAAATCATTTCTTTTTCTTGTTAACAAAAAAAAAAAAAATCATATTCTCATGAACATCCCTAATATGTGGCTCACTTTTATGTATAATATAATTGAACTAGTCATTGCTTGTGTTTGAAGGCACTATATAACCAAAAAAAAAAAAAAAGTCAAAAGCAATTGCCCTGAAATCATTTATACCATTTTTTAAAACTAATTTTAAGAGACTTTATTATTAGAGTTTTTTAAACTTATTTTATACATTGCTTATGTAAAATTAAAATTCAACTAAGCATTTTGTAATAGATATTCTTTCAACCAATCATTTATGACCATTAACAAATTTGTATAGTTGTAATAAATATGAAAATTGTTATGAACCAAAATCACAAGCAAACTAATAATGAAACGAAATAGAAAAATAGAACACAAGAGATTTACGTGGTTTGACCCAACAAGAAATCCTACGTCCACGACTGAAATACATCAGCAAGATTTCACCATTGAATGGTTGGAGATTATAAAGGCCATTCTCGATAAACAAAAATAACAAAACGAGAACGTCACAACTCTATCACACTATTATAATTGTAAAATTCGAGTAAATTTGATTTTTTTAAAAAAAAGGCAAAACGGTAATTAGTCACTACGGTACGGGTTGAAAATCCAATTTTTTTTAGAACTCGACTGATGAAACGGACCTCACTGTTGGATTTGTCTCGCAAAATTTAGTTACCTACTCAATTTTCGTTAAATTTCGATACAGTCGAATTTTTCTCAAGGCGATCGGGTGTTGTGTGACCTAAATAAATGAGATCGGGAATTAAATTGTGAAAAGTGAAAAATAATTTAAAGTTAATTCAAATAAAAATATTTTGAACCTGTACCAGAACAAAATTTAATTGATTTGAGGCGAAATTGAACCCGGGAAAGGAGGACGTGTGGCGCAACGAGGGCTAAGTATTCCAAGGAGTATAAGTAGGGTAGAAAATCATATTTTCTTCCCATTTGTTCAGCTGGGTTTTTCCGAAAAAGAGAGAGGGAAGAAGAGAGGGAAAATTAAGATTTTCTTCAAACTTCTCTTTATGATCTACGACTCTACGTTCGTCGAATCAACTTGGGTTAAGAACTAAAGTTCATCTACGCGTTGAAGGCTACGTCTATGTACCAAAAAACACGGCTTTTGACGAAGTTCAAAGAACGAAATTTTAAAAATCAAGGGCTAAAACTTGATTTGGGTCTTGAGAGATTTTTCTATCACTTGTTTTACGCTTCAAGTGGTAGGAATTTTTTCCTAATTATGTTTATTTTCAACTTAGGGTTTCATATGATATGGGTAATATGACTTGAGATGAATTCTCTTGTTTGATGTACTCCCAGTGTAACTAGAGTATGAGAAATAGGTGTAGAAATATACTAAACCAATCTTACATGAATTGAGTTTATAGAATTTACTTGTTTGGTAAATTCATGAGAAATGTGATAAATTAGGTATGATTGTGTGTTACATTATTGTATGTCTTTTGGGTGTTTGATAAAATGCCTATGTTGATGTAGCATGTTGGTTCAATTGAAAATGTTATAACATACTTGGTGAAAATGTGGATTGTAATTATATGCCTCTGATATAATTAACAATTTGGGAATTTGATGATGTTGAAATGTAATTATATGTTTTACGACATAAATTACATTAAGGAATTGAAAATGTTCATATTGTGCTCATGACATGTTGAACATAGTATGACACATACCTATGGTAGTTGAAATGTGAAAAATAGGTATTGAGAAGGGTTAAAATCAATTCTAGCATGAATTGAGTGTTTAGAAATTACTTCTTTGTGATTTTTTGTGAAATGTATTGATTGGACATACTAAGTATTTACATTTATACCTTGAAGGTGTTTATTGAAATACCTATGTGGATTAAGTGTGTTATTTGCATTGATTATGTTATGACATGCTTGAGAGTTGATGTTGATATATGCATTATGATATATTAACATTGAGGTTGTTGATGGTGGTTACATGCTTATGATGTAATTGACCATGAAAAAATGTTGAAAGATATTTAAGATGTTCATATTAAGCTCATGACATGTGAACATGATAATGAAATTGCAAGTGTACATTAAATTTGCATATGCACATGAAGTATCACATTCGTTGGCATTTGACATGAGTGTGGGTGTGTGTGCATATTTTTGGATTAAACATCATTCTTGGTGGTTGAGACGTGGATTCAGGAAGGTTGGACCTAGGTCCGGCTGAGTTGCACAGTTGCATAAAAAATTTGTATTGGATATAGTAAAAAGGGCTAGATTCTCCATCAGGTGTAAGACCTAGTTACTAGTTTATACACTTTCGTCGGTGCAAGTCCAAAAAAATGTATTGGTGTCATGAAATCGGTAGTGAGATACCAAAATCCGTGTACTCAAGAAAGATACATGCTTTATTTTATAAAATGGTCATTAGAAGTGTAACATCAATGACAGGGGATTGGAATGCCCGGATTCATACGCATGACATTACATGTGTTATTGAAGTCGGTGAAGGTTTGAGTTTAGTTGCATGTGTGAGTTTCATCTCATGACATGCCATGACATAAAAAAATTCTATTATAAATTGCATATTCTTGAATGGATTATTTCTTGCTTGTTGACTTACATGTGAGCATTTCATATGCATTTAAGTTAGAGAGTAGCCTTTTTAGGAGAAACCCTATTAAGCGTAACTCATCTTTTATAGGGACAATATTTCACGTGCGGGACATGCGTCGACGGATGACTCTCACTCGGGCCCTCATAGATGAAGAAAAGCCGAGATGTGGTTTTAAATTGCGTTTTTGTAAAATACATGTGTAAATATTTTTGGACATATAATATTGTGCAAGAAAGTGCAAAACAAATTCATATGAACTATATTTTGTCTAAAATTATATGTCATATAAGTTTGGGTTGTTGTTATATGAGTACGGATAAATGGACCAGATGTGGTCAATGTTGTATGATTGTACAAGTTGTATTTTGGATAGAGCTCTCCATATAAAGGAGACTCTATCCGAATTTTGTTAAGCTATGAATCTCGATAAATGGGGCATAACGGCGTGGTATTAAGTTACACGGTATCTACAGGTATTCAGCGGTTTGATGGGTGATCAATGGGGTAATTACAGACACCCAGATTTTGGGGCGTCACAATAAAAAATAAATAGTGTCCTAAAAAAAATCCTCTCTCCACCAAGATTAATTTTCCTGAAGAGGACTTGAAACAAGATAGAGTGAAATCCCAATTTCATCACCTTTGGTGTTGTAATTTTTTTTACCGAGTCGTTGGAGAAGACTGAATTAAACACCTTGATAATGCTACTCGAGAAGAAAAATCCCATCCAACTTGGATATTACTTCTTCAAAGTAAAAACCACCATTAAAAGTCTATCACGTGTAGGATGTTTTCAACTTATTCCAAGTAGGCTCAAATTAGTATTTTAAGTCAATAGTCTTCCATGTGAAGATGAAGTCCAAGAGTTTGTGTACAAGACAAACTCAAATCAATACTCCATGTAATACTTGGAATACAAGTCATTTATTAACAAATCTCCACCTTGACTAGTATTCCATCAAGTCATCCAATCAAAGTAAACTTGACCGTTGCTTTCATCAAATACCCCAAAGGGTACAACTTAAACAGTGCAAACACCAACTAAGTCCAAGCAATACTTGAACTTGAGTACTAGTATTGACTTAGTAAACATATCTGTTGGGTTCTCTGTTATATCAGTCATTTTTACTGTGACAATACCTTGAGCCATAACATCACGAAAGAAATGATACCTAACATCAATGTGCTTGGTCCTTTCATGATACATTTGATTTTTGGTCAAATGTATTGTACTTTGATTATCACAAAACACAGTAATCACCTCCTCTTCCAAGCCCAAGTTACATAGCAAACCTATTAACCAATTTGCTTCTTTAATTGGCTTTGATATTGTCATGTATTTTGCCTCTATGGTAGATAGAGCAATTGTAGACTGTAGGATCGCCCTTTAACTTATAGTGCACCCAAATAGAGTAAAAACATAACCTGTCAGAGATCTCCTCTTATCTAGATCACTCGCATAATCTAAATCAACATAACTAACAACAGTAAAATTGATATCATCTCTTCTACCAAATACAAAGCCAACATCTGTAGTGCATCTCAAATAACGAAGTATCCATGTCACAGCTTGCCAATGAATCTTATCGGGATTAGCCATGTAAAGACTAACTACACTAACTACATGTGAAATATTTGGACGAGTGAAAATCATAGCATACATGATGCTCTCAACTGCACTAGATTAAAGAACATAGGACAACACTAGAATAAGGAATATAGGACATAAACTGCTCCTCATTCTCACTCTTTGGTGATAAAACTGCTGAAAGCCTAAAGTGANTCAACTGCACTAGATTAAGGAACATAGGACAACACTAGAATAAGGAATATAGGACATAAACTGCTCCTCATTCTCACTCTTTGGTGATAAAATTGCTGAAAGCCTAAAGTGAGCGTCAAGTGGAGTACTCACGGGCTTTGAATTTTGTACCCCAAATCGCTCAATAATTTTCTAAATATATTTCTTTTGAGATAAATATAGTATGCCTACTTTCCTATCCCTGTGAATCTCTATACCCAAAATTTTCTTTGAAGTACTCAACTCTTTCATCTCAAATTTTGAACTTAACTGTTTCTTCAACCTGTCAGTCTGTAGCATACTCTTAACAACAATAAGTATGTCATCTATATAAATCAATAAATCTATATCACTAATAAAAGTACACTATCAAGAAAAACTTTTGATTGACTACTCTAACCCTAAAATAATATATAAAAACAATACTAGCCTTATTTAATTTAGACCTCATATTAATAAAACTT